TAGGTTCATTGGATTCAGTAGGTTATTGAGTACAGTTTTTCATGATGCACGGTTATTGGAGTGTAACCTTCTGCTGGGCACCAGTTGGCAGCAATAAGGGCTGGGTTCAATTTTGAGATACTAAATGTATTTTACCTTGGCTCCAGCCCCCACCCAGAACACCTGGGAAACACTAAATGAATTACTAGGGTGTCCCGCATAAACAAAAACCACCTCCTCACAAACACTATAAGCACAAACATCCAAATTTATTAGAAAGAATAACACAAAGCAAAAGAAAGCATTATATATAATTTTAAAACACTATTATTACAAAGCAAAGTGTATAGGTGGCACCCTCTTTACAGAGGCTTCACTCATACCCAGGCAGTCTGGGACTGAGGGCTCCCTAAGAGGTAGTTCTTGGGGGCCTGCACCCCTATACCTTGGCTTCTGGGGGCCTGCACCCCTATACCTTCAGCAGTGGGCTGGAGAGGGGGGCCCACACCAGAGAGTGCTATGAGCTGCTCCTTGGATACACTGCGCCATGGAGAGCTGCTTGAGAGCATGGGTCCTTCTGCGCTGTGATGGGCTTTGCTGCTCTCGGAGAAATGGTGGGGTGTCGACCTCAACTTCGACATGGTGGCTTTGAGGGGTTAACTGCAGTTTTCATCAGCACACTACACCCCAAACTTCAGGAAACTGCAAAAGAGCTCAGAAGAAAGGTCAGACCTATCTTACTGGGACTCAGACTGCAGACCTATACTGCACTGAGGCCTGGATAGATGACAAATAGTGTCAGGTCTCACCCTGGCTCAGTTGGTGCCAGGCTGTACCTTGGCCCAATTCTGCCAGTGAAACACATGGCTGAGGTTCAGCTGCACAACTAGGCTGAAATGCAATAGCTGTGAAACAACAAAAAGGGTCCAGGCCTACGGCTGCAGTCTGGACATCCAGTCTCAGCTATAGCACTGGGCTGAGATGCTACAATTCCCAAACACAGGGGCCAGTAACTGCCAGGACCCATTCCTGAGCAGTTTGCTCCAGGAATTAATACCCCCATGGCATTAACCCACTTAAGAAAAAAAATGGGGAAAGAGGGAGGAAATAGGAGTTTCAAACTCTGAGACAGACTTTCTCTCCTTGTAGCTGAGGATTTCCCATCCCATAGCTTTTGCTTGCCTCTCCAGTGAAGGTCTGAGCACAGGGCCAGACCAAGAGTCTTGCCCCACATTAACACACATAAAACCCACAATGCACAACCCAGAGTGTGCATGGGTGTTACAGTAGAACATGTCAGTTGTATATTTTTGATTGAGTAAAACAACATTCTGTAGGCTGTTTCTTCACCCTTATATCAACCAATTAGGGATGGATGAATTGCTTTCAGACCTTTTGGAGTAACAAGTACTTGCTATAAACTGCCAAAAATCTTAATTGCTTTCTAGATTTATTCTACCCTTGTACTACTTTTTCTTACTCTACTTTCTGACCTCAGCTGTCTGAAACATCAACTAGAATGTAACAGATCATCTCTTGTTCAAAAAGTGATTTTCAGAGCCCTTGATGTAGCACTGAGTGAGGTTGCAGAGAATAAGGACTTTGTTGCATGTTAATTTTAGGCAATTTGGGGAGCTTGTAACCCTGGGATTGTCCACACATTAATGCATAAAAGTAGTTTTAAGTGCCCTTTAGGCATCTTAAAGTTAAGCCACTCCAGAGTAGGTTTATATGGGATCTGTGCTGTGTTACCCAGCTCATGCTACGCTCATGTGTGGCCACTGTAATATAATGTAACAAGTTACCTGCCCACGCAACCCTCCACCCTGCTACCCTGGGTCAGACTGCTGCTCCCCCACAATCCCCTGCCAGCCCAGATTGGCCTGCTGCCCACATGGATCGGACCTGCTGTCCCCTACCTACCAGCACCCCAGATCCTCACTCCCCCCCGCCTCTAGTGTCTCCTGGCTTACTTGTGGCTGTTGGTGCTGTCCCAGGGGAGCAGACAGGGAAGGGGAACTTGCCTGCCCAGCTGCTGCAGTTGCCACTCTGGGGTGGGCTCAGTCCAGAGGGCAACAGGGGGAACCCCTGGGGG